TATGCCTTCATGAGTAAACGAATGCAAGCCTCCGTGAGATCCCAATCTACATTTCCTATCCGAAACGCCTAAGCCTGAATTGGGTGTGCGCCGTGAGGTATCCGTAAATGCTAGAAAGGAAAAAAGGGAACCAGTTGTCGGGTATATGACTTTCGGGGAGAAATTGTACAGAGAGAAGAGAAGTTGACTTGTGCTCAACACCAGCACCTTCATGTCTAGAAGACTAGAACCGTCCCCTGTATTCTCGTCTGGCTTGGCCAGTAACGCGGGCCGCCCGAACCTTCAGAAATCCTTGGACGGACGTGACTGGAACGAAAGAAGTTGGAAATGAGTGTTCGGGGGAGGTTGCTGTTTGCTTGGTTGGTACAGCGGTGGCGGTCGCAGAAGTTGACGACTGGGTAGCAGCGCCACCATTGCTGTTGTCACCGCCCATAGTGACGGTAAAGTATTTGGTGACGGTCTCAGGCTCTGCGGTGACAGTAACAGTCTTTACGTCACCGTGATGCTTGCTCTTCTTCGTAGATGAGGGAGCCGAGTCAGTTGAAGTGGTAGCATCGCTAAGCCCGGTGGGTGCAGGGGGGCTGTTGGTGCCGATGCCCAGAGTCGTCGCCTCGATGAGGTTATGAACCTGAGATGAGATGGCAGCACTCGCGATGTTGTTGTTACTGCTAAACTTAATCGCCTGGATTCCTTGGCTCTTGGCTGATCCGCTAAGATCAATCTGCGCGCATGTGGTGTAGATCTCGGTCACATTCTGGGTATCCGAGATTATTCTGGGCCAATCCCACACCCACATCAGCGTATATGTACCGTCGGATGGTAGGTCAGCTGGTAACTGAATATCGGTTTGACAGGGTAGCTGTTCAACGCCGTACTTGGATTTTCGCTCTTGAGCCAAAGCGATTCCTGGAGCGTCTTGATAGCACTGCCCGTCATCAAAGTAATGGGTAGCAATGAGTTTGCCCTTCTTGTTTCCACCCGTGCCGTCAGCAGTCCAGGCATTAAGCACGTCATTGATCCCATCGGTATCTTGGTGCTGTGTTGTGCCGTATACGTACACATTCCCCCCGCGATACGGCCTCGGTGTCAAGTCAGGCTGTGTGACATGGCCGTTCTCCTGGTATTGCATCGCGATGTAGTCGCCGGCACCAGCTTTCAGAGGGGGATACTGAATAGCATCGCTCGATGACAGCGGCTTACAAATGGCGGGGTTTGTCGAGGTGTCTAGTATCTTGGTCTGGTGCACATCATCTGAGACTCCTTGAGATCTAGGGATGTAGCCGATAGGGTAGCCTGGATCACCGGTAAATGACCCATTAGAATCGATGCGGTATAGGAACTCAACCCAGGTGTGGGCATTTGTGGTTGGCGCTGCAGCCAGCAGCGATATGGCGGCGAAAGTGATGCTCTTGAGACTCATTTTCGTAAGAAATAAAGTGGCGCGAAGGCCTCGCCTGCGAGACCGAGACTGGAGATGAGAGGATGAAAAGGTTGGCGTGTATGATTGAAGACTGTATGCGCAACTGTTGGTATCGAAGGATTGCAGTATCCCGGTGTCAAGAACATGCAATTTGGCGCAGCGTTCGAAGAAATCTAGTGGGAGAAGAAAAGAATCGAAAAAGTTCAGGGCCCGGGCCCAAATGCCGAAATGTATATACGGGAAAAGGACAGAAGTTGTGAGAAATCAAATAAGGTGTTTGTGAACAGACGCGCAGCGTCAAGGGTCGGACCAATCTGTTTAAAGAAGAACGAGAACAAGAGTCGAGCTTTCTTTGGGCTTGACTTTGATCGAGGAACAATAACCAAACAAGGGACCTGTTTGCTCTGCACTAATTCGAGGGTGCAAGAGAGGGACCGCAGAGTTGGGTGACTTCTGAAAGAAAGGAAGAAAGAGGGGCTCTAAGTGTCCTGTGGCTTGACGTGGCTCTAGATGTGGGAGAAGTAGGATGTGGATGTGTTTGTGTGTTTGTGCACACAAGAGAGGACAAAGGAAAGGTCTATAACTCGAGATGCCAAGAACAAGAGCGACACAAGGATACTTAGCAGAGAAAGGAAGGGGGGTTATATGAGGGGTGGTCGACAGACTACCTAACCTACTCGGACTTGGAGAGACATGGTGATCAATCACGAACATGGGAGTGGCATGCGGTCGAGGTGAGCCGCCTTCTTATTATCGCAGGCCTTTCTTGTTGGCTGTCGGCTGCCGGCATGGGTCCATCACGGTCAGTCCAGTCAGTCTAAAGCTACCTATTAGTCTTCACCGTCATCGATCATTGTCACCTCAAGCCACCTCGACCCATATCGGAATAACGACGAAAATGACAAATTCTAGCGGCGCGAATATCAGGTTATAGACCAACATCCCGTCTTACTTCTGCAGCTACACGCCCGAACTATACGATTTCAGTGTCATGGCGTCTTGGGTCTGAGATTACTACGGCCGTTGGTCTGTGGCCAAGGCTTTCTCGTAGACGCAGAGAATGTGGAGCGTAGCGAGATGCTGTCTACCCGAGTAGCAGGGACTAACAGATGCACGACGGGCTAGGAATTCTTTTCGAACCGACATGGGCGGTTTGAGCGAGGCACTTACGCGCGGCAGTGGTTCGAGCTGGATCCGTCGTTTCGGTGTTGTGAGGTTGAGAAAGTGCTGTGGCACAAGAGCAGAGAATACCGAAGGCGACAGGGTTCATTGTGGGGAGCCAAAGCCAAAGCAGCCCAAATTCAGCTCCGACGGCGTCCTCATTGGCTGCTGAGAGTTTAAGGTGCTACACTACGGCGGACAAGGGCCATCAGGGGCTCTGCGCGCGCTTAGCTAGCGGCCAGCTGCTCCTTGTCACTTCCACTTCTGTTTATAAGGAGAGTGACTTTGTGTTTCACACTCGACTCAACTCGGTTAACCGTTAGGCGTATGGACGGGTACGTACCTGCATTATCCCCACATTTAGCCTCTAGCTCGGCTCCACTCATTCCATCTTTCTTATTCCCTGTCCTCGCCTGTCCTCCCTTTCCACCAACCATTCTGTGTGGGATACCCTTGTTTTGTAACTGGCGATAGTGAACAAGACCGCGTCAAGACAAATTCACCAAAACCTCATTAAACAGTGGCGGCTATTTCTTTGGCCATATTCAGCCACCCTCTTGTCAAACGCCCTACTTTTTAAAGCCCTCGGTGGTCATGAGTAATTATGTTGGCTTCCGAAGCCACCTGTTACATTGCAGATGCGCGCGCCTACTCCAACTCCAAGAGCACTGAATCTATGCGATAGTACCTACTACTGACCGACATAGGTACAAGACACTAGCTGTCGTTCTCCAGCATACCCCACGAGAGCGTCATTTAAAATGAGAGCGCTTCTCGCCTGAAATTTACTCGGACCGCTCAGGTGCAACTGCCCTTAGTAGTAGTTCTTCGCTTCCTCACACCTGCAATTTTGCGCACCAGACCCGCGCGCCATCGCCTTTCTCACATCAGCGCGCCCGCCATCTTGTTCATTTCAGAGTTTCAAAGTCAGGTCGCTTTTCTGAAATCTTTGACCTATCCTTGTCACTCGCCGAAACGACCCCCATAGTCCTTTATGTTAAACAACGGCCCAAGACGGGCTATCTCGATCATTCAGAGAGGTGGGATAATTTAGGCTGGTCGCATCGGATCGGGTAGTGGTTACTAATCGAGAGATCTCGTTTGATCTTCTTCCATGCGTCATCTAATGCGAGTGCCATCTCGCTGCGAACGTGCACGACATACACTTCTATCTTGGGGCGACAACCTTGACAGGTGCCAGTTCATGCAATAAGGGAGGTCGGATGCAACCGAACCAACGTTAGCCGTTAAATTCAGCCTTAATTTTGTCTCCTGGTCCAAGTTCACCTGATGCGCTTTTTGGTCACTCTCAAGTCATTGAAACAAACTATTCAGCAGGCCAAGTCCAATTGCCTGTCACGTAAAGATGCTCACCATGACCCAGCGTCAGCCAACCAATTATTCAGTTGCAAAGCAGTCTGCGCACGACGACCCCGACCCCAATGATTGTGAAATAGGTCACAATTTCACCACCCTCACCCCAATCAACCGATAATCTACCCTTCTCATTCGTGACATTTGCGGTTTCAGAAACGTAGTAACGCATCCAAGGCACTGAGAGATATCAAGTGCACGTGTAGTATACTCCTGAGTATAGTAGTATGCCCCCGGTCACCCCATCAGCCACCCCCGGACGATCATCTAAACCTGGGCGACTGACTCCTTGCCAATACATGGGTCTCATGTCTCAGATCTGCCAGTTCCCAGCGGTCAAGAGTGGACAATGCTCCAAATCGGCTACCATTTCGTAAAACAATTGCACCAAGCTCCACACAGCGTGTCGCAAATAAAGTGCGTACTTCCATCTAATGTTTTAAATAGATAATATAACGTCCATAGACACGTGCAAGATAAGCCTATCTGGCGTGATCTATGCCTCGCCCAAGATGGTCCCACCGATCTTCAATCCGATCTAATATGCGTAACCTTACAGGACATGGTTGGATACAGTACAGTAGATGCAATATCTAGTCGATCGTCTTCGTGACTCTTTTGTGTATGGCTAATCCATATATTATCGAGTCTCGCGCTATGCATCCAGTCGACCGTCGAGCTAAATGCACCTCGGCGGTCCGACACGCAGTTTGAAGATGCTTGCGCGCCTAATATATTTAGACATCGCCCGACCGAGTGCGCACGTACTTCGACATATTGCTGGATAGAAATTTGGGGATAACGGACGCACCGTCGGCACTAGTCATTCACCAACGCGCCCAAGCGAGGTGATTGGGGCTTAACTCTCTTCATAGCCCTCGATAGTGGCTAAGTATATACCATCGAAAGTATTTTATCATTCTCATTAGGTTATAATGACGTAGAAGCTAGGTGACTAGCTTAATGTGTACTCAGCATCCTGTCATTCCAATATATTTTTCTATTGGTGTTTGGTATTTAACCCTCCATTCCAAGCCGCAGTTGGGCCCGCTTGGCTAAGTGGTATAGCGTGTCACTAGTACTCTAGATGTCATGACAAGATCAGCGGTTCGATTCCGCTAGTGGGCAGCAGTCATAATTTTCTTTTTTCTCCCTTCCCATCTGAGTTCTGTCAGTCATCAATCAAGCTCCCCTTCTTGATTATTTTCTTCTTGTTTCTCTCTAATGATTTCTTGCTTGCTTCACTTCCACACCTCCGCCGTCTGTCGCGAAAACACGAGTTCGAACTGGTGTGCCTGGATCAACTGCACAGAACTGTATCTGTTCGACGCCGCCCCTCGGCTCTTCTACAACCTATTTGAGGGTCTCCCTTGCCAAGTCTCTGATCTGTCAAAGTGTTCTTTCCTTCGAACTCTTCCTTGACGATCTCACGCGCTCCACGTCCTGGCGAGACGATACGGCTGAGAAATATAACTCCTACTCCATCTCGACCAAAAGCACAACACCATTGCATCATAGAATATGATTTCTGTCCTTGATCCTCACGTAGCAAGTTCTCGGGTTGAGGTGGGGAGCTATCATCTGTAAGGCTATTTATTATATTAGGTTTCAATTCCATGACGACTTGGAAGGCAACTTCAGCTGGAGAATGAGTCTCCCAATGAGCATCAGTCCCCAGGGCGGAGTTTAGAGCGGGTAGAAGGCCCTTAAGTACGTCGTTAATAGCATTCTCGTAGTTTAAGCTCTATTTGGAGCTGTCGCTATCGCCGTTCTATATGACTATGACTCTGTTTCGCACGCACGAATAAACGCTTGCCAACACCGGAGGGTACATCTGTATGTGAACCATTTCTTAGCTCAAAGCGTCTTAAAGGCTCATCATTAGCATATAGGTTGGTCACTCTACGCACGTGAGCTGCCCTAGCCATTTGCGGTAGTCGACCATCTTCAACTAATGACAAGATGTTGTGGAATACGTAGAGACTAGTAACAGAAAAGGCAAGGTGAAAATGACATTTTCATCAAAACAGGTTGGTCTTAGTCTCTATTCCAGCAGGAGGTCAGCTTAAGAATGCAGTTATCACAGGTCGGACGAGGCCGGGAAAGATCCATGTCAATGCCAGGTACCTACCCGGGACTAAGGTGGGCAACCAGCACTAACTAACATGCATGTAGAAAACGTGAGGTAAAGGGGACATGTAAACGAAGATGGAGCCTCAAGCCTAGCAGGAGTGTAGATAAACTTCAGTGTAGTTTTGCTAAGCTCACAAGCCTCTAGCCCAATTCCTAGTATAAAGGGCCTGTCAGGTGTATCGGTCCCGGAGTGAATGGAATAGCCCTACAGTCACGTAGCGGGTACACCCATATAACTATCCATACGTGGTTTCTCACCAAAACTCACCGGTTACGGTACGCAATAAAACTACCACATTTAACTAATAAAAATCAGAAAAAATTATTCTTAAGTACTTAATTATCTCAAAAGTAATATCCCGATTTTTATTTATTTTTTATTATACTTATCGTTGTTTTATTTTATATAAAACCTAAAAAAGTTATGCTAAGCGAACATTATCCGCTAAAATTAACAGCAGTTATACGGTTTTTTATTTTATTTTCACTTAAATGTTAAATCTATACTTAAATAACAATATATAAAATCTCAAAAATCAGGTTTTTACTCTCGAAGTAATTAAATATCTTAAAATAAGTTTTGCTTAATTTTAAGAGTTAGGCGTAGTAAAAAAATTAAAGCGCGAAAGTGGTAAGTTTTGGTGAGAAACCGGGTAATAGATAATTTTATCTGTCAGCTTAGTGTAGGTAAAAAAGGGGTCAGTAGCCATGAAGGTGTATTGGTCAAATGGCCCCTGGCCCTTCCAACTGGTAGTTGGGGGGGATAGATAGCCTGTATATATAGACCCAGCCTGCTAGGTATACACCTAGGTGTTACCAAGCCATCTGACAGGGCCCCTTGTGTGTATCTTAGGGTTTGAATGATTGATGATAAAGCATCACTGCATTTTCGTACCTGGATGGTACGATGGTGGCCAGGCAGGCTACGAAAGAGGCTATCACAACGCGCGGTCATCATCAGCATCAACGATGATCCTGAACCCTCTTATACAGCCAACAGTTTACCAACTTCTATTAGTGGCGGGTCGGCTGAGAACAAGAGTACTCCGCCGTTGGCTGATTTGATTGGTGCAGCCTTCCCAGTTTAGTTGCATACAGTATGTACTTAGTATGTTGGTGTTTGCGTGGAAGGTTTTGGCAGAGAGGGTACCCGATTAGGCGTGTTGGTTACAGAAAGGATCAACCTGGTGGACTGTCAGCATTATCTGCAGGCTGAAGCTTGACCGGGCTCCATTCGTTGGATGCTGCCCACGCGTTATCGGAAAGCGGCGGGTGTTATGTCGGCTCACTAAAATGCTATGATGCTGGAAGCTGCTTTTGTTTGATAATACGGTGAGCATCCATCCTGAGTAGTTATTCGGTGTGGACTTCACCGGCGGCGACCCGGATAATCGGCCGGCCAAGTACGAAGTCCACGTTACATATTACCTATCTACAGTACAGCCTGCAGACATTGCGCTGATATTAAGTTGAAGGACTAACTGCCACCGGGTGGAATATCATGCCGGTGGTACTACCAGGCATATGCGATATCGTTCTGCAGCATTCAGGTAATTAACAAGTGCACTGGTCAGACAACTCAAAGTACAAATACACAGCGCTTGCATCTGGCAGACTTTAGCTCTACATGCCAATTCGCTGATGCGCCTTTTCATATTTGCTGCACCATCATCAGTCGATCTGCTTACAGCGCCATATGTTTCACTCCGGATCCTCTTTTCGTACCCAGGCGCCTAAACAGCAGCTCTATTTCATATTTACCTTCCTCGACCAGTGATCTAGTCATCATGGACATTCATCAAGCCGTGACCGCAATACAGGAGTTGTTCCCCAGCGAGCAAGTGCTTCTGCCTAGTGGCCCAACTGCGGACGCCTACAAAGCAAGGAATGGGTCCTATTTGGCCAATCAGTTGAACGAGATCACGCCAACGTGCATCTTCCAACCCAAGGACACTGAAGACGTCTCCAAATTCATTCGCCTCATCAGCCCCTATGTAGCGGGTGGCGCGGTGCGGTTCGCCATCCGCGGTGCAGGCAATATGCCCCTGTCTGGTTGTTCGAATATTCAGAATGGCATTACGCTAGACCCAAAGCTCCTTGAGCAGATAGAACTGACAGAAACAATGGTTTCTGTCGGTGCTGGCGCTCTGTGGCTTGATGTTGACAAGATAGTCCAATCGGCTGGGCTTGGTGTAGTTGGTGGGCGGAGTGGCACTGGTGGCATTGGAGGATTGGCCCTGTCAGGTAAGCGGTGCCCAATCCCTATTTAGATATCCTCTTTTGAGAGTTTTCGATGAAAGGTTAACCAATTTTCATAGGAGGTCTCTCAATCTTCTCGTCTCGTGAGGGCTGCATTTGCGACAATATTGCTGATTTTGAAGTGTAAGCCATTTGTTTCCACTTGAACCCCGAACCCTTGCTATGAGACATACGGCCCGGACAAGCCAGCACGATGAGGCCCTTGTGTAGAGATTTCTGACTCGCAATACAGTGTGTTGAACTCCGGAGAAGTCGTGCACGCCAATGCCAATGAAAACAGCGACCTCTGGGTAGCTCTGAAAGGGGGCTCAAACAATTTCGGTGTTGTAACGCGCTTCACCATGCGCACCTTCAAGCTCGGTCATTTTTGGGGTGGGAATGTGCTCTATCCTCCTCCTACCTTCCCCAGCCAAATCGAGGCTCTTGTGGCGGAGCTCAAGCGACCTCGAGCTGATACAAACACCCATATCATGATTAGCATTGGGTTCTCTGCGAAGATGGGTGGAGCTTCACTGTGTCTGAATACGGTATACTACACTAAAGACGTCGAAAATCCAGCTGCCTTGGCTCCTTTCACTGCTATTGAGTCGCAAATCAAGCAACCAGGCCAGCCAAAGAGACTAAACTTGACTCAGATGGCTGGCCAACAAGCCGCGGGTGTCTCAAATCAATCACGATGCGTTTATATGAACCTAACGGTGAAAGCCGACGTGGCTACACTTCAGACTGCAGTAGATGTCTACACCGAGGCTATAGTGCCCGTTAAGCCATGCAAAGGCATCACATGCTCCCTGACCTTCCAACCTTACCCTGTCTCTTTGTTACAGCAATCGGTTGTGAAGGGGGATAACAGCCTAGGATTGGATCCTTCTGTACCCGCTATCTCGGTACTTCTCCTAACGTACTGGGATGAGAAAAGTGACGATGAACTTATTACCGGCACTATGAGAAGCGCTTTGGAGAGTATTCGTGAGCGCACCACGCAGATGGGAACGGCGCTAGATTATGTCTATCTCGGCTATGCCGCCGACTTCCAAGACCCTATTAGCTCGTATGGAAGCGCGAACAAGAAGGGCCTCCAGGATATAAGCCGAAAGTACGATCCTTCTGGATTGTTCCAGAAGGGCGTTCCGGGCGGATTCAAATTGTTTTGATCTGAGGAGAACAGCTTCTTATCGGTTTTCTGAACTGTATAAGGCTCCGTCCGTATTTGCGCCGATCACGCTTCGAGCGTGCCAACGACATGAGCATGGTAAGCGAGCTTAAGCCTAGGTGAAGAGTTATCTATAAGTGAAAATAGAAAGCTTATGATATGTGGTGTTGCGTCGGTTTCTGTGAAATGAAATATGTAATTCAATCAATAATTACCTAAAAGTATTCTCAGTTGGTGTTAGCCGTTGATTATATGCCTTGATAAGCTGGATTCGAGTTATTGTCGAAACGCGAACCTGAACGTAGTCTGCGGCGCAAATTCCACAACAAGCATTTAGTTGATCCGGGTTGTAGGCTTCAGCGACATTTTCACCATCTTTAACCTACTCTGACCCCTACTCTTAACAGCCGTCAGGTTAGGAGCTGGCCCCGTGACACTTCACAAGCCCCTTCAAAACTCGTCCCCCATCCACCTCGTGAAGTGTATTCCATTGATAGGCTGTAACATTTTCGCTACTTGGCTTGCACGTAGCGTATCTACCATTCTCACTATCATGTCTCAAGCCTGATTTTTAGTTCAAGCA